GTCACTTAGAAAATGTTCACTGCATACCCAGTTATATTTTAGAAGGACATTTGACTCTACTGTAATTGGTAAACCATCTTCTTAACAGGTTAGGTTCATCTAACAGAAACCTAAAAATAGTCAAATATATAATATTATTTTACACTGTATAAATATTACATAAACCAGAGGCAAAACCATCTTATAATATTTAATAATTTGTGCTAAATTGTAGCCTGATTCAGCCAAGTGCTACACTCTGTATAAAAATATATGCTATAGAAGCTTATATCTTCTAACCAATTCAATAATTAAAGGTGATCACATCGGCTTTATAAGCTTATTTTTATTTTAAACTCTTAAATTATTAATGTTAATTCTAGTGAGATAACTAACACATTGAGGTAAATAATAAAATCGGTTTACTTGTGAAATAAGATGCTTTCCTGCATCTCTTCTTTTGCTAAATCCATAACACACAGTTTTCTGATATTTTTTATACATAAATAGCCAATATGCAATCTATATTAATAATAATATTGTTAATATTATTCTGAATAGTTTTTATGATTTCTACATCATCCGTCCTTTTTTCCCTTTGTTTTCTGCCTGTTCTGCACACATCAGGTATGACAAATGAGGGCCTTACTCTTGCACAATCAGAGCTCCACTCACCACAGTCTGAGCCTTTTCACCTTGAAGTGTTTATTTAGCTCAGTGGCAGCTGACTCTCTCTGTATTTGTGTGTTTGTGTGTGTGTGTGTAGGTGGAGATGGAGCAGGCCCTGCTGCAGGCGGAGAGGCGCGCCGAGCAGGAACAGGTGGAGGCTGAGAATGAAATCATCTCTCAGCTGCAGCTCAGACTCAGCCAGCTGGACACGACCACCCAGAAAGAGAAGGACAAGGTGAGGAAGTGACACAACAAACTCTGTCGTCTGCACGTCTGGGTTCAAACATGTTCACTTCACTTCTTGAACAGACTGAATTCACATAGAGGCACAATTTGTTATCAGCTATCAGCTGGTCTGCACTTCTTATTTGTTAGCCGACAAAGCACAAATTCATTTTTCTCTCAAGATTAAAAAAGATAATCAGCTRAAATCTGGCTTATGAGGATTTGAACCAAAACTACTAACAGCTGATTTAGAAAAGCCTTTTTAATTTTTAAAGTCTCTTCGTATCCCTTACTACCAACCTAACCTGTGCCTCCTTAAATAACTATAATAATTGCTTGAATATCTCACAGCTGTAGTGCTTGACTGCATGGATTTTTAGTTGTCCTTGATCCTTTTTTTTCCTTCCCTTGCGTGACATTTGGGTTTGAATGTGGACACAATTGTGTATGTGTGTGTATGTGTGTGTGTGTGTTTCTGTGTGTTTTTAGGGGAGAGCTAATGTGTCAGCTGAGCGGAAGGTCCTGGAAAAGCAGAGGAATGAGTACAATGAGCTGAAGAAGCAGTTTGATAAGTGCCCCTTGTCTCTAAGGGAACAGTTACAGGAGCAGCTCAGCAGGGTCAGTGGTCAGTGAGTCCTTCTCATCCTGAACACCACAGAGCTGAATGTTCTGCACAGAAACAACACTGACTCTGCTTCCAGTTTTAAACCTTACCGTGCCTGCACTTTCTGCTGCCGCTCACTTAAATAAGTAAAGTTTATCATCACAGAGGCCTTTTAAACTCTGCAGCAGACGATCTGCTCCGCCTGACGCACTTTAGGGATTCCTCATTAATAATGCTTGACATTTGTAGATTTTAACAGCTTTGCTCTAAGACTTTTGCATGCTACTTGCTGGCAATACCTTCAAACCTTCCTTTTATTCAGCCACAATCTCACCAAATACACTGGTTTCAAATCTGCAGAAAGTTTTTTTCCAATATGTTGTTTTCAGAATGAATAATGAATAATACATGCTATAGAATTAAAAGCAACTGAGAGTTTGTTAAAGGAATGCACATCACCTGCTTTAATAAGCTGTCAAATTAAACAACTTTGTCAAATTTCGGACATTCTTCTAATGTTCAAAATGAAAAAGCTGAACAAACATCCTCTGGGACATGTTGTATAAAATATTTAGATTCAAAAACTTGTTAATTCTTCAGTTTATATATATATTTTCCATATAAGGATTAGTTTAGGATTAAACTTGCCTGATCGTTTAATAATGCTGTTTAACTTTTGTGTCATTTAAACAAATATCTGCATGTGAACAGACAGCTGAGGCTCTGGAATCAGGGACCAAACAGTTTGAGGAGCTGGAGTTCTGCCAGCTGGAGGAGGAGAGCAGCCTGGAGGAGAAGAAGGAGGCTCGGTGCTCGCAGCTCCTCCAAGAACGGGCCGAGTACCACTGCAGCGTGGCCAGGAGGAAGGTGGGCGCCGTGCGCAGCCGTGAAACCCATCTGAGTGTGTTTCTGAGGCGTTTGTACATCAAGAAACCTCTTTGTTGACAGGAGAAGATGGCTGCTCTTGAAGCTCAGGYGAAGCAGCTGGGGATGCAGGCGTCTCAAGACTGGGAGAAAATGGAAAAAGACAAGATGGCAGCTCTGCAGCTGTTACAYAAGGTAAATGCTGCTTTGACAAAGCTTGTCAGACGTTTACASACACTCATGCACAAATCTCCAGAAAATTAATTTCTACATTTGTTCTGTCTCATAAAACAGCATTTAAATAAAACCAGACTGCATTTCCTGCGAAAACACAGTGTGAATGCTTTTTACTGAATAATTTAGCTGCTGTAGAATCTAAAATAATTTTAAACACGTGTTGCAGAATTTTAACCGTCGAGGTGGAACCCAAAATTAGCTGAACGATTGCTGAATAGCTGAAAAATACAGAAATATGGAGCTGAAAGGGGCAGAAAAAGCTGAAGAGGGAAGAAAGGAAGTGAAAGGAACAAAAACAAAAGTTGAAATTAGTAGAAGAGTGGCAGAAAAGGTCAGAACGATGGCTAAAGTAGCAGAAAAAAAGCTCAAATCAGCTAAATATAAGCAGAAGAAAGTTGAAATTAGCACAAAGTAAAAACWAAAATAAAATGTACAGTAAAGATTATAAAGAGTAAATTGCTGAAMTACCAAAAGTCATAGCCTGAATGTCCTGAAGGAGATGAAAGCTTTGATATTGAAATAGCACAAAAAATGCAGAACGAGACATGCTGAGAAGAAAAAATGATCTCAATAATTGAAAGTCAAGTCAAAGCTCTGTGTATTGATATGTTTTAAAAGGAGATAACTTGATGAATTGTTATAAAACAACACTGCAGTAATACACAACAGTCAGGTTGACAGTGATGCTTTTATGAAAACTTTAAATTCTGACTAYATGAGACAAAAGGCAGCTTGGACCGGTCAGGTAACCTGTTCATCCATCCTGGTTCCACCGCAGGAGCAGGACCGGCTGTGTGCCCTGGAGAAGAGGTACAGCGCTTTGACAGGAGGGAGGAACTTCCCCAAACCCACCTGCAGCATGAAGGAGGTGAGCAGGTCCGAGTGAGACATCCCAACCCTCCTGTGCTGGAGAAGAATTACTGCAAAAGTAGACGTTCTTTTCTTTTCTTTTTTCTTTTCTTTTTTTGTTTTTACTCGGGTAAACTGAACAGGAGTGGCTTCACATCAGCGAACCTGACCTTGTTTATGTGGACGGTCCTCCTCATAGCCCCTGTCCCTCCTCTGCCTCCTTCTCCTCCTCCTCCTCTCACATCCCCTCCCCTGAACTCTGTCCTGTCAGGCTGCAAGAGGTAAAAAAAATAACAAGAAAAATAATCCTGTATTTTTGTTAAACCTTTCTTGTATGAAAGCTAATATTAGCAGCAGGTCAAGTTTAGGCTTTTTCTTTATATTAGTTTAGTAGCAGTTAGTATTAATGTCAAACAGATAAAGCAAGTAGCAGATTCTCATTTTTATCTTTGTGAAAACCTTTGGCTGACTTGAAGCTTCAGACTGTATTTTGTGATGGCTTTGGCTGTTGCTGCAGGAGTACCTCCGGCTGTCCGACGTCTATAGGCTGTATGGAGGTGCTTCTCTTCTTCCTCAYGCCTCCTCCCCTGCCGCTCTCCACTGCCTTTCCCTCACTGTATCGCCGGCTCTGCCATGTGAGGTAGACCCTTTTCTGCTCTTTGCCACGAACTGCTGAATAAACTTCTTGTAGGTGCGTGCTCTTTGCGACCTCTGCTCTCTCCCTGGTGTGTGTCTGTGTGAAGGAGTATGTCACGGTCAGTCAGTTAAGCCAGATCTTTGGGATGCAGAGAGCTAACCCCTCCTCTTCCTCCTCCACTCCATCATTCCATCTTGCCTCGTCTGAATCCAGCTTCCCGCGCCACTCGGCAGCATGTGGYCCTTCCTCTTTCCTTTCTGCACAGGTTTGTCCTTATAAGCACTGAACTGTACCATCCACTGAACATCTCTGGTCTTATTGCTTGACACTGTTAAAGATTCTGCCACATGTTTGTCTTTCCTGCCTGTTTTTAAGCTCTATTGTTCACCTTTTTCTTTTCTTGGCTGGATGCTTTTGATCACCTCAGAGCCAGCCTGAGCTCAGCAGGAATGTAATGCCTCCCATTAATCTTGAACGCTGGTACCAGGACATCATGGCTGCTGGAGATCCTCAGTCATGTCCTCCACCGCTGCCTGCAAAGTCTTTTTCCACACGCAGACACGGGCAGGTAAATTCCTTTCTGCTTTCCTTGTAATGTAGCTCTAACAACAAAACAAACCTTCCTATGAGAAAACGTCCTCATTATATGTTAGAAATATATGGTTATAGATCTAAGAGTAAAAAAAGTTTGTGAACCCCCATGCTGACCACCATTTAAAAGGTAAATTTAGACATCCGCATATTCAGCTGAAAGAAACACAAATCTGTTGTGAAACATATTAAATACAATATAAACAGGAGATTATTGTTTTTTCTTCCTCCTTGCAGATGTTGAAGTCCAAATCAGACTTCGAGGTTGGRCAGGGAACATCAAGCACTCAGGTGTTCAGCGCCGCCATCCTGTCGCACTCCGGCAGCGTGACGCACGAGAGAAACGCGCTCGCCACGGTCAGTTTTCCGCTTCGAAACCATCTTCATCTCACCTTGACAGCAGAGCACAGGCGTGACGCTTTTGTCTTCTTCTTTGGGGTTTCTAGCTTATGCTGAAAGAGAAAAACCCATTAGACATGGACTCCAGGAAACAAGTGGCTCTGCAGTGCAAAGGTCTGCTCACACCCGTGCATCACTGTCGAGTTTTAGGAGGAATATAAACTCATAGAACCTTATATACATATATGTGTGTGTGTGTGTGTGTGT